ATGATAAAGAACATTCCAAACAAGTATGTGAATGATTTTCCTGTTACACTAGCTATTTTATTCTTTATTTACTTCATCTTCCATCTTTCTAGTTATACATTTGTCATTTGATTTTAATATTTTTCTTTATGTTGAAACCGTCATATGATGGAACATTTTTTCCTTCACTAAGGTCATGTCTGGTTATACATTCCTAACTTCCTATGGAAATTTCTTGATTTTTAGCTTGTTTTCATAGTTTCACCTAGGAATAGCCAGTCCCACCAACCAAACAAGCCCTAAAGGATCTAGAACTTGTAGATGTTGTGACTAGGACTAATAGCAATTGACTTTGAAATCACAATTGAAATTCCCTTAGTTTTGTTTATATTTTTTACAGTATTGTGTGAGTCATTTTAATGACCATGGTCTATAATGTTGTTAAAGTAAATCCAGTGTTGGTGGTGAATGATTGATAATTACGTCGTATGTGATACCATACCTGTTGTTTGAGGCCACAAAAAAAAAGGTTGAAAAAAAAATGATACCATTCTGTTATGGATACTTTTGCTTCTGGTTTCCCCTTTTTCCTTACCTATTTCTTTATCAATCTGATAGCCTTTTTTATGCAGGTATACCTCAAAGAGGCTTCTGGCTACAATAGATGAGCACTGTCAAGGAACCTATGATTTCATTTATTTGCCAATTGACTTTAAGGCAAGTAAATTAATTTTTTGATGAACTCGTCTCCCCCTTGAAGTGCCTTAGGCTGGGGTGATTGGAGGGGGAAGAAATCCTCATTTCTAACATTATTATGACCTTATTATGAAAGGGCATATATATCTTTTTCTAACTTGAGACTTGTGAATATTGTCAACAGAATAAATGCAACGTGGGCTATGCATTCATCAACTTGATTGATCCACAACAGATTATTCCATTCCATAAGGTTTGATATGGGGATTAGATGTTGTAGTGCTTTTTCATATTTTCAAAGATATTTTTTCATGTTAATGTGTTATTAAACCAATTTGCAGGCATTTAATGGCAAAAAATGGGAAAAGTTCAACAGTGAAAAAGTGGCATTGCTTGCATATGCTAGAATTCAAGGAAAAGCTGCTCTTATCGCCCATTTCCAGAACTCAAGCTTGATGAATGAAGATAAACGATGCCATCCTATTCTTTTTCATACTGATGGCCCAAACGCTGGCGATCAGGTAGTTGTCATGTCAAACTAGCGAAGTAGCTCATAAAGTCTTGTCACTTATTTTGTTTGATGGAAGGGATTGAAATTTCCCTATTTTAATAACGAAAAAATTGGAAGGGGGGAAATGGAAGGAAACAAAGGGGAGGGGAGGGGAGGGAAATGGACTCCATTTCCATTTCCCTCAAACCAAACGGGGGTTAAGGTTTAATAACTTGTGCTACACAGCATGAGTGATTGCATTAACTCATCAAGCACCTTGTCACTTTGAATCAGAGTGACTAGTTTTCTTTTTGATGCAGGAGCTCTTTCCCATGGGTACTAAAATTCAATCAAAACCCGGAAAGCCTCAAACAACCAGCCCAGAGAACAATAGCCAAGTTAGCTCCTCAACTTCAGCAAAGGGGGAGGAACCTTCCAATGGGGTAGAACCTTGGTCAGGTTATCC